ATCTTTATTGATTTCAGAGAGGAAAGGAGAGGGGGGGAGAGAGAGAGAGAGAGGTAGAAACATAATGCTGAGAGAGTCATTGATCCACTGCCTCCTGCACTCCCCTGACTGGGGATCGAGCCTGCAGCTTGGGCATGCGCCCTGACAGGGAATCGAACCCCATCGCCTGGATCCTAGGTCGACACTCAACTGCCGAGCCGCTCCTGGCCGGGCTGGTGGCCAGTTTTGAAGGAGGGGAAATAGCAGTACATGTGCCTTGGGGTTGCCATACTTGCTGTAAGCCTTCTTTTGCCTCTTTATACTCATATTCTCTTCCTGTTCTCTTTTGGGGTTTATGTACTTTTTGTTCTTGTACTTTATTTTGATAGGAGTCTGTTAGCTCCTTTTTTAAAAAATGTTTTGGCTGTTACTGTTGTTGTTTTACAGCATAAATTACTCTTCATAATAAGGTAGTAATTCAGAGCTAGCGTAGGTATTTTTCAGCCCTGCTGCTTATAGGCCTCTTACAAGAATCAAACATAGCTAGTCTGTAAGGCCGATTTGGCCATGACTCATTTAAAGAAGATTAGATTTTGTGTGAACTTTTTCTTCTTACTCCCTTGAGTAGAAAGTTCCTGCTATCTATGTTCAATATAAGGCAACCAAATGCACAGGCACTTTTCCATAAGGGATTGTGGGTCCTTTAGGGCAGATAGTTTATGACCAGAAAATGTTTTTTGTTTGTTAAATGGCATACATTTAAATCCATGGTTTTCAGGTATGAGTTATGTTCTGAGGGCATGCACTAAATAACAACCAATAAATTATAATTGGTGATTAATGAAATAGCCCTTAGCATACAATGCAAAAATGATTTTACTTTTTAATACATTTTGGGAATTACATAGAAATGAGCTCATGGACATCATAAAAAAGTTTTACTCTTTTTGATGAGTTTATCTACATTAATAAGTCCAAGATATTTTATAAATTAACATAAATCAGAATTTTATTTATATTAAAAGCTGTTAACGGTTGGATTTTGAAATGACTTGTCTTGGATTTACTAACTTTTTTGTTATTTTAAATGTAGGAATTAATATCATATGATGTTGAATTAACTTTATTTTGACTTAATTTGAAGGACAAGCTGAAGATGTTTTAATGACATCACCCAGCTAGAAATTAGAAGATAGGTTCCTTGGGTAAGTTGCTAACTCTCAAGACCTGAACTATTTCTGTCCTATAACAAAGCTCTAATGCATGATTGTCAGGAATCCTAAAATTCTATGCCTCCCCAATCTCTGCCAAAATTCAGGGTTTTTAAAAATTGTATTTTTAATGTTAGGTAGATAATAGACATCAGTATACATTTCTAGTGCTTGATTTTTTTTTCCACCCTAAATTTTATTGTGAAAAGACTATCACTTAAAAAAAAAAAAAAAAGCTATGTTTGGTTTTGTTTAGATTGTTCTTTTAATCATGAAAACATAGTTTCAACTCTATATTGTGACTTGCTTCTGAGATTTAGAAAACACATTTAATCCCCCAGTTTCTCTCTCCTCATAAACTTTGTATCACATTTATATTGACAAATTAATATAAAGAAATACATACAATTAATGGATTTGAGCACATTCTAGACAGTAGGGAAAGCAATACTGAACTATAAAATAGCCCTGCAGAGAAACCTAGCAGAGGAAGAGGAGCGTGTTTTACATACTGAAAAATCAGCCTATGGCAACAAGGCACTGACTTGCTATGTACTGTTTCAACAGAGAATTGAATAGTTTTGTTATGTGGATTCTTTACTGAGTTGTTAAAACAAAAGAGGAATATTTAAGGCCTTTTGATAATAACTGAAAAATGTTTACCCTAAAATGACCCTCAAGAGGCAGAGGGAATTCCTTGGTTATATAACCTCAAGTGAAAAGCTCCTGCTGGGAAGAAAGCTGTAGACAGTGGTTTTAGGCATGCTGGGATAATTTCTGTTACCTCAGTGGTAGATATCCTTGCAGATAGGTGTTTTCCTGTGTCATCACTTCTCTCTTACTGTGTTCCTTTGAAATAAATTTAAAGTTGATTAGATGTTTCTCATTCTAAATTAGGAAAATGATTATTCAAAATGTATAAAAGTAAGTTTTCCAAGACTTCACAGGATAAATTCATTGGTTGAATGTGAACAACACTTTTGTGTTTCTTTGGAGATATTAAACATAAGCTTTTTTCCCTCTGTGCAGGTGGGGCAGGTGAGGTTAAATGTTACCCCTACCTGATGTGTCAGTCAGAATTCTTGGTGGCAGTAAAATCCAATTCAAGCATATCATATATTTAAAAAGCATATTGTGTAGAGCTCAGTGGTTCATCAAATTGTTGCAAGGGTTAGAGAACAAGATTAGGACTAAGCAGCCAGAAACAGTGCCCCAAATCACATTGCACAATGATTCCCATGAGGATGCCAGCACCATCTAGAGACAGACTGACAGACGCCACAGCCTGCCCCAGTGACACTAGCTCTGGATGACTCTAAATGCTGCCACCTCTGCCCTGGACTTGACCTGGCTGCAATTATCCCACCATCAGTGTGTGGGAGAGTTCCTTCTGGTCGCTACTTTTCCTGCTCACTAGTTGCCCGTTTCTAGTCTGGGCTGGACATGTGTGTTTGGCAGAGCCTATGTGTAGGACATGTGGGAAACTGTTTGACCTTTTGAAATCATAAGATGAGGGGAAGTTCTCAAATTTAAGATGTGGAAAACTATTTGCCCTTCTGAAATCATAAAGTAGGGAAGTTCCCAAACTTAAGAAGGGAAAGTTTAGATGCTAGGCAGACAGAAAGAATGAAAGATGTTCACTGCAAGTGATGTTTTAGATGTAATACGTGTTGAGCCTTTACTATGTGCTAGGCACTGTGCTAAGTGCTTACAAGCATTATCACACATCATCCCCACATTAGACATGGAGTTATAGACCAAGAGAGAGTAAAACCTACCCAAATTCATAATCAATCAGGGCAGAGCTAGGACACAAACTTAGAACTATGATTCCAAAGATTTTGCTCATAATCTCTGTATTAAACTGTATTAATTTCCCCCTGATATATTTAGCGCAAAACCCTGTAAATAAATCTGTTAGACTGACTACTAATTTTAAAATGTAATGTATGGTATGTATATGTATTTAGGCATTTTAAAGGAAGTTGAAAATTTGTGGCTTGAATTTTATCAATTTTTAACTAATTAAATAATTTCTGATTCTTTTTTTCATTTTGTGACTTATTGTAATTCACTTTGCCATTGAGTGTAAGAGAGACAGGTCAACAAGAAGGAGAGGGGACATAGAGTGACAAAGACCAAGGCAGGGACTAGTATGGAAAACAAACATGTAAATAAGTAATTGTGATACACACACACACACACACACACACACACACACACGCACGAGAGGCAGACAAATACATATATTGAAGGACTGGTAACAACACATTATCCTACAAAGTGTTATATTCTTTATATCCTTTGTTATTTGTAATGGTTGAAAACAATGAAACTTTCCCTCTGTTTAGGAAAGCTGTTGAGGCCTTTTTTTTTTTTAAGTTAGAATTAATGCTATCTCTAGAATAAACCGTAAGTTTTAAGCCTCTGTACCAGTTTGTATTTTAAATTGACTTATGTACTTCTATTTGAAAGCTAAAAAAAAATATGTGATATCTAGGAGTAATAAACAGGAGCTGCTATTTAACTTGGGACATATCCAACCAATTTGGTTTTGGGGGAAAAGTCATAAAGACAAACTCCCATAGTTACTATGATGTCAACCATGCCAGAGTATTTCTTCATAAATTTCTTGTTAATTATTCCTTTAGTACAAGCCTGTCTGTACTGCAGATTTTTTTATGCTACCAAAGCAGTGTTTTATAATGATGTAATTATATTCACTTGTGCCTTTGGGACTAAATGGGCAGCTATAATTTTTGTTAAAGTGAGTAGATCAAGTGCCCTTCCACACACATACTCTTGTAGACTGTCTACATGTGGGTTGAGTGCTAGAGAAGTACTTGATATAAAGTAAATGCCCATGAAATTAAAAGTGATTTTTGTCCCCTTTAAGTATTACATTTTAAATACTGAATATACTATGCTTTTTGTCCTTAACCTCCCCACCTGATCTTTCCTAGGATATAAATTTTAATTTGAGAACTCTTATTTCTCTATGAATTTTTGTTTTTGGTCCAATGCTGGCTGTATACAAAGGATTTTTGTATAAATGCAGTTGATGTTATACACTCTGGTATTCCAGTACTTTACTTGAGAGATAGGCTTCTTTTATGAACTGTTTTAGTGGACCAGCAATCCCTCAGATGGGCAATAGTCCTTTTATTAAGCTATCAGGTTGGCATATACATCGTTTCTTATCTTTTTTTTAAAATTCTCACCTGAGGGCATGTTTTTACTATTTTTAGAGAGAGAGGAAAAGAGAGGGAGGGAGAGAGAGAAACATTGACGTGAGAAACATCGATCGGTTGCCTCCTGTATCCGCCCCGACCAGGTATTGAACTGCAACCTGGGTATGTGTCCTGACTGGGAATTGAACCTTCAACCAGCTGAGCCACACTGACCAAGGCCACAGTTTCTTACCTTTATGAACATTAGCTAATGGTGAAGTTAATTTAGCCATCTATAGAAGAAATGCCATGCTGGGCCAGAGCATTGATCCCTGTAGCCCAGGCTGTGCTAAAGAGCTGCACCCAAGGAAACAGGTTACTTACTAGAATTCTGTCATTCCTACAGGACTCATGGGCCATTTCTATTTTCCCTTAACTTATATACTCAGAATTTATGCATTCGTTTAAACTCTTCAACATTGCAGTCTGTTCTGGTTACATATGTATGTATTAAGTTAAATTACCTATTATAGATTTATTGGAATAAATGATTCTGGGGGGAAATACCACTTATAATGTGAACTTCAGTTCTTTCCTTGCTTATAAGCTGCTTCAGTTTCTTCACCTGTAAAATATAAAATGATATCACAAGCTTATTTTTTCCTACTCTCAAAATCTGTTCTCTTATTTCTAATACAGCCAATTTATGAGGTTTGTCTTTCTCATCTTCCTTCCTAGCATTCCCCTCCCCACATGCTATTTAAATATAGAATATCAAGCAAGTTTGTTATGTATAATGAAGACACATATTATGGAGGGCCACTGAATTCCTTTGAATTATCTGATGGCTGTAACTAAAAGTTTTGTGGATATTAGGAGAAACAGAATTTTGTAGCTACAGTTTAGAGAAAACAGATACAGCTTGTATTCAGTATTTGGGATATGGATTTACTGAAGGTCCTTTTATGAGACATGAATTCTACTCTTCAGTTTGTTGGAAACCGTTTGAAGGCATTGGTCATTCCTTCTCTGATACCCCAATATGGATTTCAGAACTATATAGACCAATCTATTATCTTATTTAGCCTTAGTGCTAGCACTCAAAGTGGTTTGTTGTTGAGAAAGAAACACTGAAATCGTAAAGTTGGGGGGGGGGAGGTGGTTGTATTTATAATTGGTGTCCTGGGGGAGAGTATGCCCTCCCCATCCCTCTGCCTCTCTTCATCATTCTTAACCATCAGTGCAATGAATTAAGATTGTGAGGGAGATTTTTTATAAGTGTTAATTTATGTTGAAAGTTCCCAGGACATAATCAAGTACATGTTCCCCCCACTATCTGAAAATAATGTTCCTATAAAACCTTTATAAGCTGAAATGGCGTAAAGCAAAGAAGCAATTACTGTTAATTTATATGAAAAAATGTTTGAGTGTTCCCAGATCCCCCAAATAACCTACCAGATCATACCAAATAATATATAGAACTAAAATAACACTAACATATAGTAAAAGCAGCAATGGTATAAATACACACTATGCTTTCTTTGTACACCCATCAGTACGCTCAGTCAAGAGACTTTCCATTTTATCCATTATTGAAGACACCGCTTTGCTACCAGCAGAACCAATAGGAACTTCAGCAGCTTTCAAAATTTTTTTCTGAGGTGAAGAGTAGAATGGTGGATGCAGGCAAGGAGCTTGGGGGCACCACTCTGGTTGTTTGGGGTACACACTGCCTCTGTGATGGCTCACTGCAAAACAAACGAATGCTGATTTTGCTTTTTGCCTTTTTTCGTAAAAGTAAAAACTCTCTTCAGTTTCTTTCAG